GCCTATGACCCATCTCAAATTAATGTTTGCAGGGTCTATAGTGGGTGTTAACAGTAAATTTTTTTTCTGTGCAAGTATCTAGGTATTCCAGCACGACTTGCTGAAAAGACTTTTATTTGCTCATTGAATTGTATTGACACTTTTTTCATAATTCATTTAACCAAATATGTGTGTATCTGTTTCTGAACTCTGTTCTGTTCCATTGATCTATTTGCCAGTCCTCGGCCAATACCACACTGTTTTAATAATTGTAACTATACAGGAAGTCTTGAAATCAGGTAGTGTAACTTTATTCTTCTTTTTTGAGATGATTTTGGCTATTGTAGGTCAATTTTGGGCTTATGTCACTATTGTGGATTGAATTGTGATGATATGTTGAAGTCTTAACCCCTAATATCTGTGAATGTGACCTTATTTGGAAATAGGGTCTTCGCATATGTAATCAAGTTAAGATGAAGTCCTACTGAATTAGGGTGGACTCTAATCTAATATGATCAGTGTCCCTATAAGAAGATGAGATGATACACAGGCAAAGACACGCAGGGGAGACACCATGTGAAGATGAAGACAGAGGTCAGGATAATGCATCTACAAGCCAAGGAATGCCAGAGATTGCCAGCAAATCACCAGAAGCTAGGGGAGAGGCATGGGACAGCTTCTCCTTCACAGTCTTCCGCAGGAACTAGCCCTGCCAACACCTTGATTTTAGACTTCTAGCCTCCAGAACTGTGAGAGGATAAATTTCTGTTGTTTTAACTACCCAGTTCATGGTACCTTGTTACGGCAGATCTAGAAAACTAACACAGTCATTGAAACTCAACTCAGACTTGCTTAAGCAATAAGGAAATGACTGTCTCTTAAATTTACAAGTCCAGAGTTGAGGGGTTCCCAGTGAGATTTACATGAGGTATTAGGATTAGGTTCAATTGTAAGGGTCAGACACCCCCAAGATAATGGCTTACACAAGATGGACATTTTATTTTACTTTTCTCTCATGTAGGTGTTGGCAGCCCAGGGTTCATTGGTAAAGGGGCTCCATGACCTCAGGGATCCAGGATTCTTCTATCTTTTTGCTCTCATTCTCAATACATGGCTTCCACCTCATGATGTGAAATAAGCTTTGTGTCTGTCTTCCATCCATCTGGAAGAAGCAAGAGTGAAAGTGCCTGCCCCCTTCCCTTAAGGATACATTCCAGAGGTTTGTATAGGATACCTCTGCTCAAACCCTATTGTCCAGAATTTAGTCACATGACCACTAATACCTGCAAGGGAGGCTGGGAAATATCGTCTTTATTTCAGAAAGCCATGGGTCTACCTATTTATTACCAAATAGGAAGCGGAGATCTGATATTAGGAAACAAGAAGTTGTTTCTTCCACATGGTGTCTGTAGGGGAATGCTAGGGGGTCTTACAGGTGATTGGATATAAGAAACTGGAAGGAAGAAATATCAGGTCTGGAAATAAAGATTTACAGCTTATAAATGTTAGTTACATTTATAACTACATACAAATACATATAAATGTTAGTTACAATCTTGGGAGGGGATGAGATGGCCCAGCCAGCGTGTAGAGCGAGAAGAAGAGGTCAAGGAGAGACCTGTAGGGAACTTCAGAGTTTAATTAGACAGAGAAGGATCCAACAGGGCCCTGAGAAGAAACGGTGGGGCAGTTAGATGGATATTCAGGATGTTTTAAGGAGAGAGAGGTCAACAGCGTACAGCGGGAAGAGATGCCAATGAAGGTAAAGGACTGGTCTTTAAAAGTGTAAGAAATAGCGACTGTCCTGTGTTATAATCATAAGCCACCTGAAATCTTTTTCTGGAAGGAGACCTGTGTGACTGAAATGACCTTCTAGAACCTGAAATGTGTGTAAATCCCAGTGTAAGGATGTTATAGTTAATTTAGGTTCAGGGCTGGTGAAAGTCACAGCTCTCCACCCCTCCTCTGCAAGGGGCAGGGTCACATCTTAACAGTGAGGTCACTTACCATCTTTCTCACTATGGTCAGGTGGCTGGGGACCATAGGAGGCCCTGGAATAGAAAATGAAACCCAGCCAGAAGTCTCAAGAGACTAAGGGTTTAACTTTTGCCTTTTGTCTGGTTCTAGGGAAGGACTCAAGATGAACACAGAAGTGGACTCACATGTGCACTAAGAGATAAGTCAGAGCATGTTAACTGAAGTATTGCTTGTGATAAAGACAGACTGGAAACAACCCAAGTGCCCATCAACTGAAGAGTAGATAAATAAATTATTCTGTAGTCATTCCATGGAATCCTATTTGGCAGATAAAACGAATAAGCCAGATCTGTGTGTATCTACACATGTAAGAACAACGTTGAGTGAAAATAAAGCATGTTGCAGCATTAAAGTTTGGCAGATAAAACGAATAAGCCAGATCTGTGTGTATCTACACATGTAAGAACAATGTTGAGTGAAAATAAAGCATGTTGCAGCATTAAAGTAGTGATGTAAATTTAAAAACCACATAAAGCAATACTATACTTTTTTATGTAAACATATCAATATAGTTTACAAAACCTGGACGGGGAGCGTACTTACCAAATTCACACTAGTGGTTGTCTCTGGGGAGGGAGCAGGACAGGACTGGGAAGGACAACCAAGGAGATTTCAACTTTATCTGTTTTGTTCTAGTTCTATAATTAAGAAATAGTTGAAGCATATGAAAAGGTGGTCAGTTTACTTACTTATTCAGGAAATGTAAATTACAGCCACAGGAAGAAGAAAAAGAACCACAGTCTGATACCAGTACAGTCACCAGAATGACTAAAATTAACGAGTCTAACAATATCATATGTTGACACAAATATCGAGCAACTGGAATTCCTACATATTGCTAGGAGTGTAGATTCTATTCAACCACTTCAGAAAACTGTTTGGCAGTATCTTCAAAAGCTAAGCATGTGCCTATCTTGTCATTCTGAAATTCCACTCCTAGGTATAAACCCAAGAGAAGTGAATATTTATGTGCACCAAAAGAACTGTACAGGGCTGTTCATGGCAGCTTTATTTATCTTAGCCAATGTCTAGAGATAATCAAACCAATTTGGTTATTCCACTTCTAGATACACATCCTAGAGACTCTTAATCACGTACCCAAGGAGACAGGTGCAAGAAGACTCATTGCAGCACTATTTACAGCAGCAACAGCAACAAGAACAACAACAAAATAACAACTCAAATGCCCACCAGCAGGAGGATGGATTAACACTGCAACAACACGAATGAAGCGCATGGACGTTATGTTAAGCAAAAGAAGCCAGGTATAAAAGAATACATGCAGTATGATTTTGTTTAAGGAGTTTTAGAATCGGCAGAACTAATTCCTGGTGACAGAATGCAGAAGAGGAGTTATGATAGAGTTTACTTATGGGCTACTATTGACTAGAAAATGGCATAGAGACATTTCTGGGTCCTTTCTGGGGTGATGATAAAATACCACACCTTAATCTGGATGGTAATTACACAGGTGTTGCTTCAAGGACCTGGGTTATCTGCTCCCTCATTTGGAGCCTCTTCCCCCTGTCTGCTCACTTCTCCACCTTATACGGTGGAGGAAGGGAGTGGGTGGTGAAACCCAAGGCGGCTCTGAAACCAGACAGACCTGCCTTTCCATCACCACCCGCCTGGCACCCTACCGCACCCCTCCGTGCCTCAGTTTCCTCACCTGTAAAACAGAAGCAGTAATTTCACCTCTCAGGGTTGCTGTGGGACTGGATATGGTGCCCGCCAAGACCTGACCTAGGGGGCCCTCGAAAACCGGAGTAAGATGCCTCCCTTCCTCCCGAGGCCAGTTCTGTGGGTCAGAGACCCTGGCAGCGTTGTCCAATAGAACCTTCAGCGATGATGGCTGTTGATATGTGTCTAGTGGGACTGAGGGACTGTGTTTTTCATTTTATCCTATTGTAACTGCTTTACATTTAAATAGCCACCTGGGGTGAGCGACTACTGCGTTGGGCAGCGCAGCACTGGGCAGTGCACCAGGAGTTATTCACAGACACGACTGCCCCCCGCCAGGCGACTGGACAGGGGGGCTCCGTGTGGACACTGAGAGGCGCCGGGGCCGCGCTGTATCCACGCAGTCATTTCTTCCCCTAACAAACTCCTCCCGAACAAAGTCGGGGTGGGAGGGAACGCCCGGGACTGCAGTCAGGCCCCGGCTCCGGGATGGGAGCAGTTAAGGCTCGTGAACGCGTGGACTCCACCGACTTCTGTCCTTCTCCACTCTGTCCGCCCCCAACCCTTAAGTCCCTTGGGGACATGGGTGGGGACGCGAGGAAGACTCCCTCTGTGTCTCCACGACGCCCATCTGGGCCTCCCAGGGCTCTCGGCTACTTCATTCTTCGCAGCAAACCGGGGAGGCTGAGCCTTTCCACTTCACGGATAAGGAAACTGAGGCCCGAGGAGGTGAAGGGCACGCGGCGGGGAGCAGCGGAGTCCAGCCGAACCGTCAACTCTGGGGCTCTGGAGACGCCACGAGCACTGTCGTGGGCCGGGTTGTCAGGGCGCGCGGGGAGAGCGGTGGGTAAATATTTGGAGCTGTAACCCGGGATCCGGCGACTCCTCGTCACTGCGGTCTCCGCGGGCGCGTGGCGAGGGCGGTGCCCGGGCCCGGGGGCGTCCCCGGCGGCTGGCACTGCCCCGCCCCGCCCCGCCCCGCCCCCGCCCGCGGCTATAAGACGGCGCGGCCGGCTGGCGGCCGGTGCATGAGCGCGGGCGGCGGGGCAGGAGCGCAGCCGGGTGGAGGCGAGCAGCGCGCGGAGCGGGAGCGCGGGGCCGGCAGCGCGCGCCCCGGAGCAGCCCCGGCCTCGGCGCCAGCATCCGCCGGGGCCCCGGCCGAGGGCCTCGCAGGAGCCGCCGCCGCGCGCGCCGGGCCCAGCCCGCCCATGAAGCCGCCCGCGGCGCAGGGCAGCCCCGCGGCCGCCGCGGCCGCAGGTGAGTGCGGGTCCCCAAAGCCCTGGCCTTGCAGGTGAGGCGAAAGAAGGGGGATCCCTTGTCGGCTCGTGACAGCCCCCTGCCCTCCATCCTCCTCGGCGGGCCCGTGCCCCTGGCGGGTCCAGCTTCCCTCCCCTCGCCGCCGGGCATCCGAGCCCGACACGTAGCGGGCGCATCCTGACTCAATCTTCCCATCGCCCGGGGGCGTGAGCGCGGGGACAAGTACCTGACAGCGCGTGGGAGAGCTCGGCTGTGTGGATGAGCAGGGTGACCTTTGGCCTGCTGATTCATCCGGCGGGGCCTTAGTTTCTTTCCCTCTAGAATGGGCGCAGTAACGGAACGCACCTCAGGGGGTGGCGGAATGTATTACAAGATAACAAGAAGCAAAGGGCAGCGACAGCGTGGCTGTCCCTTGGCGAGCGCGCAATGAGTGTTAGCCATCCTCGGGAATGGGGGTGGCCCCCTCCAGGCCCCGGGACGGGATGGCCGCCCCGCCCCCATCACCTGAGCCCTCTGTCCCTGTCCCCAGCCCCGGCCTTGGACTCGGCGGCCGCCGGGGACCTGACGGACGCGCTGTGCGAGTTTGACGCGGTGCTGGCCGACTTCGCGTCGCCCTTCCACGAGCGCCACTTCCACTACGAGGAGCACCTGGAGCGCATGAAGCGGCGGAGCAGCGCCAGCGTTAGCGACAGCAGCGGCTTCAGCGACTCCGAGAGTAAGTGTGGCCCCGCCAGGGAAGGTGCCTGGAGCCCTGGGGACACCCAGTGCCCGGCTCCCTAAGGAGCACGCTCGGCTCGGGTCTCCGTTTATGTGTAAACCGAGAGGTGGGGCCCAGCGAAGAAGCCCTAAAAGCCGGCGCAGTCTCTAGGACCCCCGGGGCGCTGAGTCTCCAGGGTGGTAGGCCCAGCGGGGGCAAGACCCCCGGGGGTCGTCACCGTAAGGCTCCTGGAGGGCAAGCTGGTCTACCTGCCACCTGCAGGTGTCATGAAGCAGGAGGTTTAAGCAGATGGCCCCGACTCAGCCAGACAGGACTCCTGGGACCAAGCCAGGCCTACCCGCAGTTCCCTCTCCTCTCCTCCTTTCCCCTTCTCTCTCTCAGCAGTAACTTTCAAGAGGATGTGGAGCAAGTGCCACGGGGATGGGAGACGGGGGACATGCGAGGGCACAGTACTGAAACATTTGTGAAACCAGGAAAGGTTTCATAAGCTGCTGTCCTTGGGATTTTTAAAATAACTTCTTGCACTTTCTTCTGGCTCTGAGCTGCCGGACTTGCTGCTCCCTTGCACACAGTTTTGAAATAATCCTTGGCACTGCTGAGTTCAAGTATTTTAGAAAGTGTCCCTCTTCCTTCAGGCAGGTGCACCACAGGGACTGCTGGCTTTGACCCCTCGCTCAGGCTGGAGGAGGAGCCAGCTGCTTCCTGGTAACTTTTCTCATAATGGAGACCACCCCAGGGTCTCTTTGTCCTAAGCAACCTTGTAAGAAGAGAGACAACTTTTTCCAAGAACTCAAATGTCCCGTAAGGATTATGGATATCTGTTTAGGTATCAAACAGCAAATTTGGTGACTCTTCAATATTATGTGATTGTTGGTTTTCCAGTCCTGGATTACTTATTATTTTTCAAAGTGAATTTTAAACTCTTCTGGGTTATTCTTGAGACTCTCTCCCTACAAGGGTTCCAAGCGTGAGTGTCCCTCCCGTTGCTGCCCTTGACTCTGGAAGTAAAAGCAATGACCTTTCTTTGTGATTCTCTTCTTTTGAAATCTGCAGCTCTTCCTTGTGGCAGGGCAAAGATGCAGTCCCCGACTTAAACCTGAGCTGTCCTCCTGAAAGGGGATAAAGGGCACGGGCCACCCTGTTCAGGGTTTGAGGCAGAAACCTGAGTTCCAGCTTGACTTTCCTTGGCAGCCTTGCCTGAGGTTTAAATCTAACTGCAGCTTTTGAGGTGAAAGGGGATGGAATAGCGTGCTGTTAATTTTCCGTTTTGTGTTTTTGGACTTTGTTGCTACTGACAGGACTGCTTATTTTCTATTTCAAAGGGAAGTCTGAAAAGTTTTGAAATTTGTCTCAATGCCTGTAACTTAAATATGTCTCCTTCTACTGGGGCATGGAGCAAGTTATTCATCAAGCACAGATTCTCTCCCCCACAGGAAGGAAAGCTGGGGCGGTCTGTCCACTGCTGCTCTATTGCAAAGAACAGCTCCTTTCTAAACCACAGGCACATTTGGCCAGAATACGGTCTGAGCTTGCCCATTCATGGGTGATTGCAACTCCCTCTGGGTAGGATTTCAGATCTGGGATCTGTTTCCAGGGGCCTCAAAGAGAAGGCACTCAAACACATTCTTAATGGTTTTGGGGGAGATATTTGGAATAGCCTGTAGTTTTTCTTAGGATATGTGTATGTATTTTGCTTTCTGCTTTTGTTGTTAACTGTTGAACTAACCCTTAGTTTGATGGTTAGAGAAGTAATGGGGAGGATATAAAGAAGGCTCAGAGGACATTAATCTTCTCTATAAATGTGTCGTTTGTCTTCCACGAGACTGGTTAGAAATAGTCTTGGCAGAAGCGGTGTTCATCTAAATAGTAATTTCTTCAGGAAGCGTAATATGTATATCTTAATTGCTGCCAAGAGTTGAGCACAGACATTTGTTATACTCATTTGTCTGTCTAATGCTTTTCTGTGGAAGAGAATGTTTGACAGAGGTAGGTCCTACTGAAATTTAGCCCCTTCAAAGGGAGACACACCGGGATAATGATAATAAGAGCAGCTCACTTTTTCCAAGTCCTCACTCTGATTACTATTATCATTTATTAGCTCTTACTATTAGGGATCTCTTTGCTGTGCTTTAAATTTGTTCTCTCATATGATCCCTACCAAGTCCTGTAAGGTAGGCACTGTTATCTCCATTTTTCTGATAACATGGCAGGACCACATGGACCCTCTCTCTAAGGCCTTGCTCTGTCACCAAAGATGGTTGGTTGGAATGGGAACCAGTTCCTCAGGAATAGATTTGAATTCCCATTGGACCTAGATCATGTGCCTGTTTATCAAAGGTGGTTGTGTTTGAAGGTGTCTCTTCAGTGGAGCCCCGGCTGAGCTCTGTCAGGGCCCCAGGCAATGAGTGGGCCTCAGTTTCTCTAGTTGTAAAATCGAAAAGATGCTATTTTACAGTACTATTAGAAACATCCATAAGCTCATGATTAGGAAGAAAATATTTGCTCTGCTTAATACTTTCAAGAAAATATTGAAATGCGTATACCACACTATATCACATAGATCAGATACCTTTGAGCCAGGGTCCTGCGTGAAAATGTGACGTATGAGGCTAGAAGGCAATGGCACCTTGGTTTTCACTCTACTTTCTACAGCTCTGTTACTCTGAAGATGTACCCACCTTACAAGATAGATCAAAACAGCTTTCCTGTTTTTTGAAGAATGCTTCCTTTTCTCATTAAAAAAACTTTAAGTTGCTTGCATCCAAGGGGGAAGAATAGACATTCCTGCTTCCACCCAAAGAAGCAAGTTACAGATAGGAGACAAGAATGGCTATTTAATGAGGAAATACTCCTTTCTGTTCTCACTTACAGGGAGTCCTCCTACGACGTGAAGAGGATCAAAATAACAATGGCGAAATAACTTCGCATTAGGGGTGGCCTTCAAATGGGGGTTGATCAGACTAGACTTGTTCTTTCTCCCTGGACTTGGGTTCCAACAGGTCATCTCAGGCACTTTCGTGGGCATAGTTTCAACTTCAGTAGGAAAAGGGCAGTGTGGTTGGGGGCTGTGTTGTTCAAACGTGATCCTTGAGTTTCAGGAATTGTAAACATCTTTGTTTTGAACTTACTAAAAAAAATTTTGCTTTTTCAGTATGTTCACAACTAAAATGCACACTAGGACTTCTCCAATGTGTTTAATGAAATTTTAACTCGTAATTACTGAGTTTTAACCAATGCGTTAATTTACATTTCCACTGATTGATTTTAAACAAAGTTAATAATATTAACTTGAACTTTAAAAGAGGTGGTATGAACTTATATCTATGCTGTATTGGGGTTTCACATACCTTTTTCCTTTGAGAGGGGCAGTGTTTTGTTACTTAAAAAAGGTCTGCAGTCTATTGTGTATGCTGGGGCTGTTATGATATTGTAGGGCCATTTTAGGGGATGCGGAACTGGCTTCTTTGTCATGTGTAAGACCTGGAACATCTGTATATCTTTGCCTACACTGTTCCAGCTTGAACCTGGGAGAGGGCATCTTGTAAGCCCTGAGTGCCAGCATGACAGCTGGCACGTCGGCTGATCTGTCCCAGGAGCCACTGAGTCTAGAACCTGAACTTTGTCAAGCTGTGAGAGAACGAGGAATTGAGCCCTCAGTTTGCCTGGTATTGTGTCAGGAATTCCAGGTGGGTGACAGGTTTCCTTCTGATACCTGGAGAGGTGTCTAGAGGGACTGAATAAGTCCCAGGGGGGAAGCTGGGGAAACTGTGAGGAAACTGAGGAAAGGGGCCCTTTCTTACCCTATCCCACTTTTAGTGAGGCTGTCGGAATTTAGATTTTGAGGAGGTTCACCCCCCGCACACACACGCACACCCCATTCCCTGTGGCAGAGGGGACACAAGTCCAAGGCTTTCTTTTTCTCGGTTAATTACTATAGTTTGCTTGCCTTAAACGTGTGGGATTGTTCTATATTTACAGGAGCTCTGGGCAAGGTTTACTGTCTGTGGTTTTACTTCCCTCTGGAGTGGCACATGTTGACGCTAACCCTAAATTACCTTTCTCCCCACCCCCAAACTAAAAAAGCACATCTACCTTCTAAACAAGCCTCCGTTTTTGCAGCCGAGTTTCTCAGCCTCTGCCAGTGCTCCTAAAGTTAGATGTTTGTATATTTAATATGCTGACATTTCTTTTGATGGTGTCTTAGAAAACTTGGCCCCTGAATTTGAGGCTCCTGGCTCCGGCACATGAAGCTGACTTGCCGAGACGTTTCTGATGGGGCTTTAGAGCTGATTGAAGTCGATGGTGTGAGGTGCTAACGTATCTAGTCTTGCCACCTGCCAGGATCCCCAAATCACCACTGTAATGCGTCTCTTGAGCCTCTATTAATAGCAGCACCTAATATCGGGGTGGGACAATAATACATTAATATGCTATCAGCCAGCGACACATTGCTGTCATTTTATCAGACTCACTGGCTGTTATTTTGCAAGGAATAGAGTTCCCGGAGAGTGAAAAGAACAGAAGTCAGGCTTTGCTTTGCCTTTTAATCTACTACAATGCCTAGCATGAGGTCCTGTTCATGGTAGGTGCTTGATAAAAGTCCGTGGAATGAGATTTTATTGGATAAAGGGTAAAGAGAGGCCTAGAGCCTGGGGTTCTTCCGTGTCGGTGGTGTGTTCTTGGGAGGTTTGTTCTGGGGTGGCTCTGAAGATAAGGTGCTCTTAAACATTTTGCTACTATCTGAATCTTGATTCCTGTTATTCTCTATGGCGACCTTTCCTCTCCTGGGCATGTCATCCTCCGTTTTGCCAGGAACTTTTGAATAAAATCATGAACACCATAGGTATCATACTTGGAGCACCTAGGTCACTATTCCCATTTTGTGAAAGGGGAAACTAAGGCTGAGGGGTGGAGGGATTTGCACAGGGTCACCCAGCTCTCACACACCTCTCTATGGGGGCAGCTTCTGCTGGACCCAGAGAAGCTTTGGGGCTCTTGAGCTTGTCCTTCCCATCTTTGTCACGGATGACGTGTATGGAATATTACCACAGGGTGGAACTAAACTTGGGCAGGTTTGGCTCAAGGATGCTGGGGATTCATTTCCTCCTGATGGTTGAACAATTTGGAGCCTGGAGTCAGGTCTGGCCCTGACTGCACACTGGAACTCGTGGAAAGAGAGAGGCATCAAGGTGTAGCAATGAGCCGGTGTGTGAGGTGTGTGTGTGTGTGTGTGTGTGTGTGTGTGGTTGAGGTGGGTAGGGGTGGGGGGCGAGAGGAAGTGAGCATGCGCTGTGCTGACATGCCTCTGTGTGTGTGTGTTTATATATATAGATATTGTACCTAGGACTTTTTTCTCTCCTTCCCTCATTGCGGGAGTAGCGTGAGTTCATTAGCAGTAAGAGGCAACTTCTGATTATTTTAATAGAGAATTTATCGGTCAAATAACAGTCAGTTTGTCTATAAATTTTCTGAGTTTGAGGAAAATACTTGGATCAAAAAGGTGTTTTAGCACCAGGCTCTAAAGGATGAGAAGGAAGCCATGGCGACATCCCAGTATGATGACTCATTCACCACAGAATCTCAACACCACCTGAGTTACCCCAAGTTTTTCCTGAATCCTCACCGGATTCCTTTTTCCTACCATTTTGCAATGGCCTTTTCCATATCTAGATCATTCCTTCCCTGAAAACTGAATGACATTTGGTCTACTTGCCTGTGAGGCAAACAAATTGTGTGTGTGTGTGTGTGTGTGTGTGTGTGTGTGTTTTCGTCTCCCAAAGGATGAGTGCATGTGGATGTAAACTTGCTGGAGAGTTGGGGCAGAATAGCGATGAAGTCCAGAGTTAGGGCAAGGACCTGCGGTGCAGGGTCGGGTGGAGTAAGGCGTGGCAGTGAAACTGGCTCTCGAGGGCCAGCTGCTTCTGGGAGATAGAGACCAGAGGTGTGGCCACCGAGATCTAGGCCAGCGAGTCTCTGGGCTTGGCGTTCTGGGCTGGGGATGGGACTGATTCTCTCGCGTGTCCTTCAGAGCCAGAGGTAATGTGCCGAAGGCCTCGTATTCCTTCCTTCTGGCTCAGGAGTCTGGGCACGAGGCCTGCCTCCACAGGGCTCTCTGTGGTTTTCCTGGCCTTAAGTCTTACCTCATCTTTTCCCCACAAGTTTCTCAGGTTCTATTTGTGGCGATTCTCCTGCCTGTTGCATGGTGACAAACAGTAGCCCTCTGCTGTGAGTCTGCAGTGGACATGACCACTTTCCTGTTTGCAGGGGAAAGCGTTTCTCTTGAGAAAATCCAGACAGCTTTAGAGGCGGGCTCCGCTGACAAGGCAAGCAGAAGGGCTTCCCAAGCTGAGTTCCACAGAGTACAAGTGTCCTGAGAAATATGAACAGGCTGCCACAAAAAGAGTGTACCAAGGTCAAATAAACTTGGGAAACAGGGCTAGACTGGTTCCTTTATCACAAGACTCCTCAGGGACGATAAAGTGGGAATACACAATAGCAGTCGCTAAGGGTTCTCAGTGTTTCTCTAAGTTAGTTGATCACACAGCGCTTCTTTCCCAAGGACCATTATTCTGAGGAATATATTTTTGGGAAATATGAGTATAAGGTTCAGTGTTTGGAATCTCAGTAGGCGTCCATCGTCAAAGCCTGTAAAACGATTGTGGGCCTTTTAGGTGACCTTGGCTGGACTTCTGAAGGAGCAAAAGACTGGGAGGGCTGGACATGTTTGGGAAAGTGGATGAGATGGGTTCGTAGGCCAGGAAGGCAAGATGGCTCTGGGGCCCCCTGGTCAGAGGAGGGTCAGAGGAAGGGAGCCAGTGAGGTGCCTGAGAGCTTGTGGCAGTCTTTAGGGATGAAGATGAATTCTCTTGGCACCAGAAACCTCTCTTTTTGCAAACCTTTTGTATTCTGGGCATAGCTTTTGTAACTTAGTCATGTCCATTTCGAGTTAAGGGGACCAAAGAAAGATGTTTCTGCTTCCCCCTGAGCTGGAGGTAATTGGGTTAGAGTGAGTGATCCCAAGGAGGAGTGGGGGCCTGGCCAGGCCCTCGTGATTCAGCCGCCCTGTCTCACCTGAAGAGCCTTTCAGAGCTCGTCTCTGCTACAGCTGTGGCTGGCTTTGTGTTTTGTTTTAACCAGGAAAGCTGTTCCCTTGTGACCTCAGAGGCCACATCCTGCTTCCGCTGCCTGCTCTGCCTTTGAGCCCTTTGAGTCTGTGCAGCTCAGCCAGCAGCTCCTTTCTGTGTCACAGACACACACCTGGGCTGGCTGTGGGTTGGTTTCCCCTCCCCTTGGCAGGACTTAGAGAAATAGAATCTCAGAAAATCAGAGCTGGAAGAGACTTTAAGGATTATTTGTCCACCTTCCCATTTTATTGATGGGTAAGTTGAGGCCTGGAGATACTGTCTTGCTCAAGGGCACCTATACTTAGTAGCTGAGCTGGTTCCCTTGACTGCTGGTGCTACCCAGCTTCTGGGAACCTTGCTCTTGCTCTGGTCTTTGGGGTATGACAATAGAGGCAGCCATCAAATCACTTGAAGTGTCTGTGGTAGACAACCTCCAGGAGAAGAAATCCTTATCTTTGACCCACTAGCTTATCCCGAGTGTAGGCTCTCAGGAAAACCACAACAAGGACTCTCTCTTGAGCAGGCAGGGAGGGTTATTAAGTCATGGGATCCAACCTTGGGTTTGTCTTTTAGGTTTAGAGGGCTGAAGGGACATTTTTCAGGAAAGATAATTCCTTATGTCTGAAATCCCGTCCCCCACCCCCCCACCCCCCAGCCAAGCTTTGGCGTAGCTGTCAGTTAGACACCTGGGCAGTGGGCTCCTGTGTGTTGCAAAGGAGACTGGTCTGGTCGTGACGATCCCGTCACCTCCTTCTTTAGGGAAGCAAGGGCGTTTGGTGTGCCTCCTTGGAGACATACACTCACACGCACCCACGGGCACACTCTCCTGCCTCAGATCGTTTTTGAGCATAAGTATAACATCTGAAAAGCAACCTGTTTTCTTTGCAGCTTTGCTCCTTTTGGAGATAAGCTGTTGGTTATCAATAGACTGTAGACTGAAAACCATTTCTAATGGGTTACGTTCTCTTTCCTGAAAGGTGCAGATTCGCTTTATAGGAACAGCTTCAGCTTCAGTGATGAGAAACTGAATTCTCCCACAGACTCGACCGCAGCTCTGCTCTCTCCCGCTGTCGCTCCTCGGAAAGGTAAGTTCCTTAGTTGGAGTGTGAGATTTTTTGCTTCCTTATTCCCTTCCCCTTCTCAGTCTCTCTTCTCTTCCCTCTTTTCCCTCACCAGTCTTTCCCAAGTGTGCAAAATGAATAGTTAAGACAAATATCTTAGTACAGGACAGTGTGAGGTGGAATTTGTTATTTCTCAGACTTTTTTTGTTTTTTTGAATTCACCTTTCAGGCAAGGCTTTCTTTTTTTTCCATGAGGAAGATTTGCCCTGAGCTAATATCCGTTGCCAATCTTCCTCTTTTATTGCTTGAGGAAGATTAGGGCTGAGCTAACATCTGTGCCAATCATCCTCTACTTTGCAGGTGGGATGTCTCCACAGCATGGCTGATGAGTAGAGTAGGCCCACACCCAGGATCCAAACCCACGAACCCGGGCTGCTGAAGCAGAGTGTGCCAAAATTTAACCATTAGGCCACAGGGCCAGCCCCTTGTCAGGATTTTGATCAGTGTGAAAATGAAATCAGATAATTGAGAGGCAGGAAACCAAATTCACAAGGAGAAAGAAAAGCTGTAGACTATAGACTCTGCTTTCCCTCGTGTGGTGTAATCAAGGCTGTGCCAAATGACAGTGCTCTCCCAGACGGGTTGGTTCTAGAATTTAAAACTCAGCGGTTAGGCATTGCAGAAAGTAGGGTTCTTTTCATTGCAATATCTATTTAACCAGTGCTTTCAGATTACCAATTTAGCGATTAAATGGGGTCTTCATTATGAGACAAGCCGTGATCTAACATGATTCAAAATAGCAGCTCCAGCCTGTCTCTCTGTGATAGTAATAGACGTAAAAAGTTTTTAAAGATGCATGAGCAGTTTCTTAGTTTTTGGAACTAGTAAGTGTCTCCAGCTAGAGAGCTGAATGTTCTGTTATATTGGACAAGCGCCCTTTTGAAAACAAAAGGGGTTTTTTTCCTTAAGAAACATTATGCTTGCTGGAAATAGTTGCAGAATGCAATAAAAATGGAACATAGTTAAAAAGAAATATGAAGAGTCCATCACTTTTCTTGCTCTGGCATTAAGGCAGAATTTCCCTCTTTTTCAAAAGAGACATTTTTCAATTCTCCCCTCAACATGGCCCTGCTAGCAGCCACTGGGGACTCTGCCATTGTCCAGCCCTCCGCTGGTAATGGATCCACTGAGTTCAGAGAGTCAGAGAGTCAGAGCAGTCTAGAAAGTGGCTTAAAGTGTGCCCAGATTTGCTACCTGATCCTTGAGAGGTAGGAATTAACGAGGGGGAAAAAGTCCCAGTGGGAAATTGACTTTAAAGGCTGAGAACAATGAGCTATTTGTAGCCAGCAGGGGTTAATTAATCAAGTACCCAGTAGTGCATTTCAGAGAAGGCATGAATGATGAACTCTACAGAAAAAAAGTATATATCTCAGGATACAGAGGGAACAAGTCAGGATAAGGACTTGTTACCTTGTGCTAGCACCGGGATGGGAGGAAGCTATCCTGGACCCAGAAGCCTGATGTCACCTTCTCTGTACCATTTTGACAAGGAGCAGTGGCTCTTCACTCATTTCACACTGGAGGGACTCTGAGGGCTGCAGTATTGCCCTGGGGTGATAATACAAACAGGAGTGCATCAGAGGAGAGTTTTAGCAGGAATTACAGAATCTGGGTGTCCATTCCACACAGTACCATGCTTACAAAATATTTTTGACTGATAACTCAAATCCTACACAATCAAAGCAATCATTTTTTTTTTTTTTTGGTGAGGAAGATTGCCCCTGAACTAACATCTGTTGCCAATGCTCCTCTTTTTTGCTTGAGGAAGATTGTCACTGAGCTAACATCTGTGCCAGTCTTCCTCCACTTTGCATGTGGGATGCCACCACAGTGTGGCTTGATGAGCAATATGTAGGTCCGCACCCGGGATTTGAACCCACTAACTTCAGGCTGCCAAAGCAGAGCGCATGAACTTAACCACTATGCCACTAGGCTGGCCCCCAAAATCAAAATTTTTTATCTTCTCTCCCTGCCCCTCACCTCCCACCCGCCTCAAACTTTTTAGGTAGTGCAGGAAGATTCTTCTTCTGGGTTGCTGGAGTGGGGGTAGGGAGTGAGGGGTGATGAACTAAAAAAATAAGAAAGAAACGTTTAGGCTAATCTTCAGAATGGGTTCCTGAGTTGACTAAGTAAACATTGGAGCAGACGCTTAGGGCTGGTACAGTACAGTCTGCAATAAAGTCTCTGAAGATAGAGAAATGCAAAATGGGTTCGCGTAATCCGGGAAAGCATGGGAGTCATCAGCTGCCTTCGATATGGAAACTGAACTCCAGCTCTTGTTTTCCAGCCAAACTAGGAGACACGAAAGAGCTAGAAGACTTTATTGCTGATCTTGACAGAACGTTAGCAAGTGAGTACATGCCTGCTATTAAAAAATCAGATAGAAAACTAACTGACACGTCTGATAAAGTGCCATAATGTTTACAGCTTGCCTGGGGACGGGAAGTTACATCATAAGGCTTCTTTAGGTTCAGAAACAGGACCCTGGTGGCTCAGAAAGAAATTCCGAGGATAAGCTTACGTTAAAGAAGACTGTGTGCCTTTCCAAACAGTGAGAACAGGCTACCAGAAAACAATGGCATTTTGTTCGAGAAATGGAGAGTGAAGTAGTATTTAGAGCAAGATTGGAACTTTACCATCATGGTCGCCTGCCTGGCCTTTCAGAGAAGTGAGCAGAACCACACAAGTGTTATTTATGCTCACAAACCAGATGGTTCCATCCCATGGGCTAGGGAAATTTTCCCAGGTTACACCCAGGAGCTTGACGAGATCTGACTTTTAGAGGATGGGGACCCAAAAGAGAGAATTCGTTCAGGGAGACCTTGTAACCAAAGACCCACGCCAATTACTGAAAGGCCTGGATCAAGTAGGCAGTACCTTGTTTCCCATTTGGCAGTTCCACTAACGGAACTACATTTTGTATGATCAAAAATGTTGACAACTGAAGCTATCAGACCATAACTGCAGTGGGAGGTCTGGAAGAAGGGACCCTGAGAATCAATCTGCACACACTGTTTCAAAGGAACAGGATTGCAAGAGCCAGAAGGACCAGCCTGAGCGTCTGGGATAGAAGTTTCAGCAGCTCTACCCCTGGGGGGCCTTGTTCAGTCACAGAGTGGGCTTGGAGAATTTGGTCCTAGTCCCTTAATTTTTCAATGAAAGGGTTGATTTTTCATAAGAAATATTTTATGCTATCCTGTGCTAAATAGCTGGGTCAAATCTGAAAAATTAGATCCAAAGCTGGTTATTTAAAAAAAAAACTCTGTTCTTAATACTATTTCAGACAGACCTCAATATTAGGTGGAAAGTCCCTGTGTATTCTCTATTTACTTGGAGATTTTATTGCCCGTTTTCTTACATGCTTTACCATCCTACATCAGAAGACCAAGGCCTGTTTTGACAGAGAGTATTGTAATTGCTGCACAATTTGTATTAGACCCATGTATCAAGCCTGTCTCCTTGGTGGAAATTGTAGCTGGCTGCCCACTCATTCCAGTTCATCAGACATTTCATGTGGGAAGCCTGCCATTAAGCTTGGTGCTTTGATGCCTGTCTGAGACGGTGTGATCTGGTTAAGCGCAGGAATTGTAAACTTGCGTGAGTGGATAAATTATCTATCTCTTATTTACAGGTATGTGAAACAAGGAGAAGTTCTGGGTCCTTTCATCATAAGGGAGAAGCTTCAGAAAGCTCTGAGGACCTGGTAAAATCAGCTACAGAATTTGCTGCCAGAGGAGGCGGAGATGCGTGCTCACCTGCCACCAGGCTGTTCTCAGGCACGTCCTAAAACCAGCCTTGGGACTCATCTCTGGGCAATTTAGACAGTGAAACTGACTTCGTTTACCTGCTTGCAGCGTATTAGAACAGATGACCCTTGCTAATATTGTATTTTCTCTTAAAACATAGCTTTCCTGTAATTTAAATTGCTTTTATGAAAATATTTGTAATTAATTATATATAGTTGGAAACAGTAATATGCTTTTCCCATTATAATATATTTTTGTATGCAAATAAAATTTGAACTGGAGTCTGTATTTTGTAAGCTGCTTTTTTTTTTCTTAAAAGTTCATAATTTTCTTATTTATGCTCTTCTATCTTTAAAACCTCTAAAATAACCAGGCATTACTTTGATAATTGGAATCAAATTATTTAAAAACTCCGATCCTTATGTTCTAGAGGACACAAATCCAAAACATAACTACTTATAATTTTATTTAATCTTCAAAAGCTAACTACTCTATTTGAGATGTCTTTTAGGGCACTGGGAAACGAAACTGCTCTTTCTTTAACTTTTTTCTTTTCCCCAAGTTTCTGGGAAAGCTTTTAGGTTGAACTCAAATATTTTCTTTATTTCTTTATTGAGATATAATTCAGCTACACGAATGTTCATCCTTTTAAAGTATACAATTCGGTGGTTTTTGGTCTAGTCACAGAGTTGTGAAACCATCACCACTATCTAATTCTCTGTCTCCATGGATTTGTCTATTCTGGATATTTCGTATAAATGGAATCATACAATATGGGGCCTTTTGTGTATGGCTTTTCTCCCTTAGCATACTGTTTTTAAGGTTCATCCATGTTGTACATGAATCAATATTTCATTCCCTTTTATGACTGAATAATATCCACTGTATGGATATATCATATTTTATTTATTCCTTTATTGGTTGAGGGACATTTTTGTTGTTTCTACTTTTTGGTTAATGAATAATGCTGTTTAGAAAAGTCATGTTCAAGTTTTTGTGTGGACATATGTTTTAATTTCTCTTGGGTCTATAACTAGGAGTGGAATTGCTAGGTCATATGATAACCCTATGTTTAACTTTTTGAGGAATTGCCAAACTTTTCCATAGCAACTGCACTGCTTTACATTCCAACTGGCAATATATGAGCGTTCCAACTTCTCCATATCCTCGCCAACACTTGTCCATTTTTTTGAATATAGCCATCCTGGTGGGTGTAAAGTGGTATCTTATTTTGATTTGCCTTTCCCTGATGACTAATGATGTTGAGCATCTATTCGTACTTATTGGCCATTTGTATATTTTCTTTGGAGAAATGTCTATTCAAATCCTTTGCCCATTTTAAAATTAGGTTGTCTTTATTGTTGTTGAGTTGTAGGAGTTTTCTATGTGTTCTGTATACAAGTCCCTCATCAGATATGTGATTTGCAAATATTTTCTCCTATTTCATAGGTTGTCTTTTCACTTTTTTGTTAGTGTTCTTTGAAGCACAAAAGCTCTAAATTTTGATGAAGTCCAATTTATCTATTTTTTCTTTTGTCACCTGTGGTTTTGGTATCACACCTAAGAAACCATTGCCCAATTCAAGGTCATAAAGAGTTACTCATGTGTTTTCTTTTAAGAGTTGTATAACTGTATACAACTCTTACATCATACAAATCTTACATTTAGGTCTTTGATGTACTTTGAATTAATTTTTGTATATGATGTGAGGTAGGGGTCCAACTCCATAGGACTCTATGTTGGAAAGGCTGTTTTTTCCCCACTGAGTTATGTTGGCACCCTTGTTGAAAATCAATTGACCATAAATGTATGGATTTATTTATAGACACAATTCTATTCCAGTGATCTGTATGCCTGTTCTTATTCCAGTACCACACAGTCTTAATCATTATAGCTTTGCAGTAAGTTTTGAAATCAGAAAGTGTGAGTCCTCCAATTTTGTTCTTCTGCAAGATTATGTTAGCTATTCTGGGTTTCTTGCATTTTCACATAAACTTTAGGATCAGCTGGCCAGTTTGTGCAAGGAACACAGCTGGGGTTTTCATAGAGAGGGCGCTGAATTTATAGATCAGTTTGGGGAGTGTTGCCATCTTAGCAACATTGTCTTCCTTCCAATTCGTGAACATGAAATGTCTTTCCATTTATTTAGGTCTTCTTAATTTCTTTCAACTATGTTTTGTAGTTTTCAGTGTATGAATCTTGCACTTCTTTTGTGAAGTTTATTCCTAAGTATTTTATTCTTTTTGATGCTGTTGTAAATGGAATTGTTTTCTTAATTTTATTTTCAGATTGTTCCTTGCTAGTGTATAGAAATACAATTGATTTTTGTATACTGATTTTTTATCCTGCAACTATTTATTAGTTCTAATAGATTTTTTTCTTTTTTGTGCATTCTATATACAAAATCATACCATTTGCAAATAGAAATAGTTTTACTTCTTCCTTTCCAATCTGAATTCTTTTTTCATTCATTCTGTTGCTTCATTGCCCTGGCTAGAACTTCTAGTACAATGTTAAAAAGAAGGCACATCCTAGTCTTGTTCCTGATCTTAGAGGAAAAGCTTTCAGTCTTTCACCATTAAGTATGATGTTAACTGTGGGAATATTTTCTTTTTAAGTCAAATGAAGCCTTGACTTGTTTTCTAAACATAATTTTTCCATTACCTGGAACTGTTTCTTGTTCATGCTTGGGAGCCTTTATCAACTTTGGATAAATCTCTTTTCATCAGGACACCAGTGGCTCTTCATTGTCACTATCACTTTTATTACAGCCTCTTCTGGAATTGAGGAGCTACCTGCATTTGACATCTCTTTCTTTACGGTCTCCTGGAACCTGGACTCCCAAAGTTAGAAATGCAGGGTCTGTAGCTTTGTGGCCTGTTGAGAGGTTAAGGTCAGCGGTTTGGGGAAAGAAATGGATTTCTTTAGGTAAATGCTGAGGGAAGGGTAGTTTGTGCTCTATAAACCTCTGTTGGGTAAATAATTGGGGACAAGCAGACTGTAGGCTGAGTCACAGCTCAGGGTTCTGAGAATGTTGAAAAAAGTGTTTCCAAGATGTATTTCAAGGAGCACATTCCTATCCTGTTTTGAAGATTAGGTATTAAGCTTACGTGTACTTGAAAAGTTCTGCATGGTATGTACTCCACTTACAGATTTATTATGCACATTAGTACATAAATTACTTAGGGTTCAGTCTAAGTTGATGGATCAGAGAACCCAGAATATAGTGGCTTAAACAAGATGGAAGTTTCTTTCTCACTGATAGTCCAGAGGTGAGCAGTGCAGGGCTGGAAGAGAAGCTCTCTGCTTCAAAGTGGCTGCTATTGCTCTTGTCATCACATTTACATTCCAGCCAGCAGAAAGGAGAAAAAGCAAGTCAGATACAACCTTATTTCTTTCAATGATATGACTAGAAGGGACACAAATCACTTCTGCTCATATTGCCTTGTCCGGATCTTAGTCAGCTGGTCATTCCCAGCTGCAAAGGAGGCTGAGAAAGAAGTCTCTTGCTGGCTGGATATGTACTCAGCTAAAATTAGCAAGTTGTGATATTAAAGAAAGGTGAAGAGAATGGGTATTGGGGGACAACTGCTACATGTCATGTCTGCTACAACATATTGAAGGCTCTGAGAAATCTTGCAGCCAGAAGACCTGGTCTTTTTTTTGTTGGAAAAACTACCAATAATCCACAGCACATTTACAGCACATTCGAGTTCGTTGGCACTCGCCTTGGGAAATGGCTTTGTAGGGAATCTCAGCCCACTGGGGTCCACGGCCCTCTGCCTCCTCCAAGCCCTGAGCGCCAACAGCACGGCCCTCACCAACTGCTTGATTGTTATGTGAAGAGCATCAGTCTGTGTGGGCTTTTCTAGAACAGAACAAGACCACGTATGAAGCCTGTAGAGCTGCTAGGACGTGAATAACATGCTTTTGAGTTTAGGAATTTTCTGTTCTAACTTCTGGGAGGAGTAGCTAAAGCAAAACAAAACAAAAAATATGACGCACACCCAAAGTGAGAGGATGAAGTGCCAGCCCAAATATTCACACGGCAGCCAGCATCTGGGACGGGGCAGAGGACCAATGGACACCTCTTCTTGGGGGCTGATGACAGAGGCGGCCACCTCGCGGGTCTGCCCCAAGCCTGAGAAGTCACGTCTGAGCTGAGGGGCAGTAGGCGGCGGTGGGTGGCTGACTGGCAATCAGTTGAGGTTGGGGACCCTGAGGAAGTTTCTCTACAGAATTATCCTTCTGGGTATGGGATGGGGAAAGGGGGAGAAAGTTCGGGCTTTCAAACTAGACCGGCTTAAAATCCCACCTTGCTTTTCTGTATCTGGGTGATCTTGAGCAAGCCCACCCTGCTCTCAGAGGTTCTGTGTCCTCATTTGTAAAATACGGGTGTGAGGCCTTGTCTCCCAGGGTTGTTGTGAAGATGAAATGTGGAAGACGTCAAGCGTCTAGTGCTCTTCTCCTCCTTCTTACCTCACAAGGACATGGGGCTCCTGCACCCAACGTAAAGCTAAGCTTCACCTACAGTGGTCGCAGGGGGCAGTTCCAACCCCATAGTTCCTTGTCTGATAGAAGAAAGTCAGCAGGTCTGGTCTAATGGGACCAGAGCGAGCGAGGCAGGGAGAGAACATGGAACACAGGGTGGGACACTGGCTGCAAGGCCCAGCCTGGCCATTAACAGGATCCTGGCACTTTCTGGGCCTCAGCTTCCTCCACATTAAGCCCAGGAGGGACTAAACATCCTGAGGTCCCTTCAGCCCATATATGGTCCAGTGGGCTCCAGCCCCCACCTCAGACATGCAGCTCTTCTCTGAAAAGCAGAGGGGAAATTTTTCTTGGTTTTTCATTGTGTCTGTCTTCCACACCCTTCTCCAAAATGTTTTTCTGTGCTAATTTATTTGGCTAAGAAGGTTTGTGGTGAGAGACACCAAACAGGAAATGGCTGTCATAGCTGCTGTCTGCCACTTTTTTTTTAAGGCTTTCTCCTGCTTAGCTCACCTTCTCTGTGTCGTGCAGCATTGATTTAAGAGCAGGGGTAAGTGGAAGGGGAAAAGGAAAGGGAAATACATTTTTAGAAGGGAACATTTTCCTTCAAGTTCAAAGTTCACTGAAGGGTAAGGATAATGCACAATGGCCCTATTAGCTACTCCCTGACACCACAGGGCCTTTGCACATGCAGTTCCCTCAGGCTAGAATGCCTGCTCTTCTCTCTTTGTCTAGTTAGTTCTACTTCTTTAGGGTAAGCTCAAGTATCACATCTTCAGAAAGCCTTTCTGGCCCCT